AGCGTCAAATAGCCGTCTATCAAATCGTCACGTCCGCTCAGGTATTCAGATAATTTTCTTTAATCAAGAGACGCGGGAGCGTCTCCCGTCGAATATATTTTTGAAGTTTAATACATTCTATATATACGAAACATTTTTCCAAAATAAAAATATCTGTATATAATTATTACTTAAAAAAACACTTCGAAATTCAAATTGAGTATAATTTAATATCATGAATTTATCATTGTACAAATACTTTTATATATTTTATTTTTTATAAATATCTTTACACTGTATAAACGTCTTTATATTAATTTATTTTTTAATTGAATAATGCTAATTTAAACTTGATAAAGAGATAAATATATATGATTGTATCGCTTATTTGCCGGAATAATGACATAATTGAAAAAAATCAAATTTTTCAGAAAATGAGTTGAATATTTTTAATATCAGTATAGGAGGTAAATATTAGTATGTAAAGTCATATACGAGACAGGAACGGAAATTATACGTTTTTATAGAGACATATATATCTAACATACTAAGATTTTACTATACGCGTACTTCTAGCACGAGATCTTACTTTGTGAAATTAAACATAAAATTCCATGTTCAATGGAATCTCAAAAATACATATTGCATGCGAAATTAATATAATATGTAATTTTCTATTATATGTAGGCTGCAATATTACATGATTATGCTAGAACAAAAGAACCCAGCATAATCATGTAATATCACACAAATATTTTTTTCAATGTATTCTCTTGTAATAAATATTTGCAATTCAATTACGCCATTTATTTAGAATTAAGAATGTCAAAGGGCTATTTTTGTATTAACAACTGATAACAAAAAAATGACAATTTTTGAATTATGTCGTTGTTTTGGCAAATAAGCGACATATATTTCAAACTATTTAATTAATTTCTAATTAAAAATATATATTTGTCTATCCGTTTATTTGGCAGTGGAAATTCTCCAAATCTTTTCCCGAAAAAAAGTAGAAAAAACAATATCTCTCTTATCCTGAGATATATCTATATCCATGAAAAATCAAAGGATGCCGAAGCGACGATGACGTTTCCGAACGAAATAGCAAAAGACATATTAGCATTTTACTTTCCCAGTTCGTACACTCTCGCGGCAAGCCGGCTAGACCGGCTTGTGTTTACCACTATTTCCATAAGTAAACAACGGGCGAAAAATCCCAGCCAACTTTTCTATCCCATCGCCATACTTGGCGCCATACTTCTCCGATTTTGCCCGAACGGGACAAATTGCACGATGAAGCAACGTTTCTTTTTTGTACGCGAAGTACATGCGAAATACGAGCGAATGTAACTTACCCCTTACCCCCCACCCTCCTTCACTTCATGAAAGCTGTGTTCTAAAATTCACTGTCAGTGCTGAAAATCTATAATATATGTAACGTAAGTGATAGATTTTCAGCGCTGACAATAAATTTGGAACACAGCCATAGATTCAATCAGCTAATTAATTTACTATAACCAACTATACGCTCCTCTTACACCATACGCTTTTGTGTTTGTCATGTATGTACATATGTATAATACACACGGCATATTATTAAGTTAATCTCGTTCTTGTTCGCTGCCTACCGGGTGTTCCCGTATCACTGATTTGATTCCATAATCGGAACATGATTTGAAATTTTAAATTTTGATCTGTTAACGATTAAAAAATTTTTATGTTCTATAATTTGAGGCCTTTAATTTAGTCTTTCTTAGCTTATATTACATTTTTACAATCTCATTAACGACTATAATAGAATTTTTGGAAGCAACAAGATATAGATAATATAAAACAGGCCAAATTTTACAAAATGCTTTATTATTAATTCACATTTCATAGATGGTTTGTGCATGTGAAGAAACAGTTATTATTAAAGAGGAGACGTTCACAAAAATATATCACAAATAATTATTAAAAAGTCAAGCTCGTCAATAATGATAAACAAATATTTATATAAATTTACATTAATTATTACTGATAAAAATTGTAATATTGTGATGATTTAACTGACTAAAAACAGCAGGATGGATGCTAAGCTTTAGGGGTACTCCCAGTAGACAGTGAATGCTGTCGCAGAATAAGATAGTGCGTAAGTTATCATTTATTCGCAGTTCGCACTCTGTACATAAGTATATCTAAAGACAGTGAGAAAGTGAGAGGGAGAACGAGAATGTTACGTGCATGAAAAAAGGGAATGTAAAGGTAGAGCAAAAAAGATGTTACGCATGAGTGTGACAAAAGTAAAGTCGAGATATCGAGATGAATTCTTGATTCGTTATTCAAAAGAACTATACATATATTAAACCGCTTTTTTTTGCCAAAGAACAGAACTCAAAATTATCTCGTTTATTCGTCACGATCTTCTTTCTTATATTTTAAATAATGATTTTATTTATTTGAAGAATGGAAAATTCTATGATATATTTATTATATTTCTATTTTTTTTTTATTTTATCACGAAGAACGCAAGATGTAAAAAGATCATTTACCGAGACTTACAAAGTCACTTTTAAAATGATTCAGGAGCGCTTACATTCATCTCCAATGTCGACTTTCCATTCGTGAGCTATCTCGCGCGCAGATGTCCTAAATATTCCGTTAGCTATGACATTGCCTTGTAGATTCTTATCTAGGATGTCGAGGAGAGAAAGGATTTCCTTTATGAAAAAGTCCTCGGGACGAAACAGGGTAGAGGAATAGGATTGAGATGGAGAGAGAGAGGCGACGTGGAAAATAATATCTTCGATCTACGGCAAGCCGATCGACGTTATTTTCATTTTTGTATCACATTTGTTGTATTCTGTGTATTTGTTCCTTATAGAAATAATTCGAAATTACATTGAAATATTTATTCAACAATTCATAAGTGCCACATTATGTGTTATAATAGAGAATATTAACGGCTGATAAAAGAAGAAATCAATTATATAATATCTATTATACGACATATCTTTTTTAATTAATGAAGGTACAACAGATAATACATAACAATATATATACAACGTTTTTATTCACTATTTGGCAGACTTAAGTGCGATAATTTTATATTCTGTCAACTATTCTTTTGAATTATTTCGAGATTTTTTTTTTGTAATATAACAATTTTTAAATTTTTCTATGAAAATAGTATCGCCAGTCAGTCTTTAAATCAAAGCTCAAGGTTAAAGCCAATCTCGTGTTAGGTCGTACGTTTTATTAAATTATTAAATTAAATATAAGATTCGATCGAAACTCATTTGTTGATAAATTAATGAGTCATAAATATTATACTGCTGCAATCTTGTTCACAGAATACTATACAACAGTTTTAATCACGTTTTATGTTAATTTTTCATACAGATAATAAGCATTATGCTTTCTTAAACAGAGAAATTTTTTTGTAAAATTATGTAAACTGTTTTAAAATGCTTCGGCTGGATAAACGCTACAACAACTGAAACTAATTACTAACAGAAATATAACTATTATTTTATACTCTCTTGCATTTGGAGCATTGTTTAAGAGCGTCTACGTGACGCAAGTTGTGCTGCACAAACGCGCAACTTCCGAACAATTTGCACGATTTTCTTTCATTTTTATTTTCCATTTCTTCCGGAGGTTGCTTTTTATCTTCATATATTCCATCGTTACATATTTTCGAGATATCCTTTCCAAACTTGTAGAACTTTAATCGAAATCGAGATCGAAAACTCGAGAAATTTTCTACGAAACGAACGCTGCGATTCGACCAAAGTTAAAGAATTTTATTAATTTTTGCGGATAGGATGTTAATCGTAATCGACTCTTGCACAAATTACGCACTCGCACGCAACTCGCGCATACAAGAAGGAGGCAGAAGGGCAGTCGAAGCGAAGGAGCGAATGAATGAAAGGAGAACCGAGCGCGCGCCGCAAGGACGATAATTAATGACCATCGTCTGGTCCTCTCCAGTTCTCATTCGTGTATTTTAGACAAATCTAACGTTGCACAACTAACTGAGACGAATTGCCGAGAGTGATCGTGAGTGCGATTATTCATGCATGTGTGTTGAGTAGCGAGTGAGTTGTACGTGTGGGCGCATGTATATGTATATGTATGTATGTGTATGTGTATATGTGTGCACAGAGTGGATAGTAAGGCAGACGATGCGCAAATAGATATAAGTAAGAGATCACGATGTACGATCGAATTGTAATCGAGTAAAGTTGATGTTATTTAAAGTAACAAGATGCCAGTGTTATCTGCGTTCACGCACACACGTCCTTTTACAGCATCCTGCATCTTCTATCTTGCTTGTAGATGCTGCTGAGTACCAAAAGTGGTAAGTAACGCGCATGGATATTTTTGAAAACATAACTAATTGCAAAGTTATAAGTTCTAAATAATATATTCAATATTAATCCTAAATAATAGATCCAAAACTAGATACATTTGATTATCTTTTTAAAAAGTAGCAATAAATTTTAATACAAAGTTTTTTCTTTATTGAGTACGAAATTTGTTTATTGTAATAAAAGTCTCGTAAAGAAGTGTGGTTAAAATATAAGTATGTAAAAACTCGATATTTGGAAAAATACGATCGTATTTGACCTTTTTACGATTTCGTTGAATTCATTTCTTCGCGTTACGCCAGTACTTTTATTCGTCACGTTGGTATCCGGATTCGTCAAGAACACTGCACTGAATTCGCTGACAAGAGGAGCTGTGCAAAAATATCACGGCGCTGACGCTAAGCGAAA